TTAGTGGGAACAGATTTTTTTGTACCAGGAAAGGTTAAAATAAGTTGAAGGTGGATAAAGGATAAAAACGCACGTTTGAAAGATATTAAAAGGGGGGAGACTATGCACGTTTCAGAATTTAAAAAAGAATAAGGATTTGTTTGTTAGAATAGATGAATGGAAGTATAACCAGTTATCTCATTTCATTGCAAAATTACCACAACCCTTTAGGGATGTAGAAGAAATGAACCCGCTTGAAAAAACTAATGAATGCTGAATTAAGCCCAAAACATATCACCTCTAGGATATATAAAATCCTTGTGGACTTAGAGGATATACAGCCCCCTGGATATTTAAGTAAATGGGAAAGGGAACTAGGAATAAAAAGCAACCCTCAGCAAAGGGAAGGTATTTTTAATCTAACACACAAGGTAATAAACATGCGCACAGTAGAGATGAACTATAAATGCTTGGCGAGATGGTATTTATCACCCAGTATAACCCACAAGCAGCAAGGGGAAAGCCCCCATGGTGCTGGAGAGGATGTGGAAAGAAGGGTAATATGGAGCACATCTGGTGGAGCTGCCCGAAGATATAGGTTTATTGGAGGGAAATAGCGCATTATATCAAGGAAATATGTGGGGTAAATATTCAAGGGGATCTCCTGAAATGCTTATTTTATTATTCTGAGCCCATGGTGAAAGTAAATAGGAATAAAGTATTGTACCATTTAATCAGTGCAGCAAAGGGTTTGATACCAAAATTTTGGTTAGTGGCAGAGGCTCCGAGGGTGGTGGATTGGATAGATAGAGTGGAAGGCATTTTCAGAATGGAAGAACTGAGAAGTTTAGAAGAGGATAAGATGGGAATAAATAAAAGCATATGGAGTGTTTGGTTAAATTTCAAAACCTCGGAATCCTATACAGAACTAATTAAGGTAAAGGAGGTAACCTAAGAAATCACGATGAGATTGGTCGGAACAAGTTAGGGAGAAATGGATACAGATAGAGAAAGATACGATAATGATGGTGGGATGGGCGGGGGGGGTTATAGAATGTATTTATTCATTTAGGGGAGAAAAGAAAAAAGTATATTTTGGAAGATGGAATGTGTTAATGTTTGTGTAATTATGAAATAAAAAGTTAAATGAAAAAATAAAGATAGTCAGGTGGAGCACCCCAGAGGCCCAGACTACATAAGGAGTAGTGGCAAGATAGTTTGGGACTTGGTGTCATCCTTTTTCCATACAGGGTACCACTTATACGTGGACAATTCAAGCGTGCCACTATTTAGACATTTGTACAATCTTGGAACTGGCAAAGTGCGACCTAATGTATGCCCACCATCAGAAGTGGGTGGATGCAGGGCGGTATATTTTAATGGTGGGCATACCACACTTTTTTTTTTGGGCAGAGGTTTCTTCTCTTTTTTTTTCATTCAGCCCACAGCCTGCATACAAAAAAAATAGAACATAGCATATATACCGAACAAGGACCAGTGACGTACTGCTACATCACTGGACTTTGAATGGTTATACTAGGATGATGCCTACAGCTGCAGGCATCATCCTGGTGTCATTTTTTTCAGCTTGCGATCAGCATTTATGTAAAAACAATCCTAGTGGCTATTTAGCTACAGGATTGCCTTTACAAGCAGCAGGAGACAATCCCCCCCCTCCCCCATGGGCCTTCTCAGGCAGTCCCATGCCATCCAAAAGTCTGACGCGTTTCAAGGACTTGCCTCTTCCTGGGCTCTGAGGAAGAGGCAAGTCCTCGAAACGCATCAGTCTTTTGGATGTCTAAACTCCCTATTGTGGACTGTTACTCAGCGCGGTGTTGATCCAGCTGTTCTTTTATGATGTGCCTTGACTATATTGTCGTTTGTGAGTACAACACCTACTTTATTTCTTATTAAACATTTTTTATGGTAATGCACTAGGCCTGTGCGCCCTCTCTTTGTTCTTTCCTCATTCAGTATATTTGGATTCCCCCGGTCCATTTGAGGGCAGCAAGGTGTGCATGTTCCAGGACATTCTTAATGTGGTTGTAGCCTGCATCGAGTCCATCCCCAAGTGCAGGAGCATTTGTGTTTGCTGGTTCTTTAGTCCCATGCCATCGAGGGAACCTGAGAATGCAGCCGGTGTTTCTGCCAGCTGACCATAGACCTGATTGGAGACCAGAATGGTGCCAATCATCTCTTTAGCCTAAGAAATCAGAAGCTACGAGCATTTCATCACTTCAGTTTTGCAGGATATAAACAGCAGCCATTTGTAAATTGGGAAAGCATCTGATCACACCGATTTTGGTTTGATTAGATAATGTAAGGGCAGAGGAGATATCTAGAGTCTGATAGACCTCAGATTTCTCGAAAAAGAATATATGACAATGCCCATTGAAGTTATAGGGGATATTTGCATTCCCTGTGATAGCATTAAAAGTGATCAAAAAATAAAATAAAATAAAATAAAGGGACAGTGTTAAAATAATTAAAAAAATCAAAATAACTTAAAAAAAAAAGTACCCTCACTCCCACGCACGCATCTGCAGTCGTGAGCCTTGACCCTGTGCCAGTATGGGAACAGCAGTTGCACCATGCATGTGAGGTATCGCCATGAACGTCAGATCAAGGGCAGTAATTCTAACACTAGACCTCCTCAGTAAATCTAAAATGGTAGCTTGTAAAGGCTTTTAAAACATTGCCTATGGATATTAAAAACGTATGCAGTTTGTCGCCGTTGCACAGGGCATGTGCACAGTTTTAAAGCATGTCATGTTTTGTATCTATTTACTCGGCATACCATCATCTTTTATATTTTACCAAATAATTGGCCAATATATTGTGTTTTTGTGCATTAAAAGTAAAAAAAATGTATTTTTGTTAAAAAAAAAATTGCGTCTGAAAAATCACTGCACGAGTACTATTGACATAAGAAATTGAAGCACCCGCCATTTTATTCACTAGGGTGTTTGCTTTAAAAAAATATATAATGTTTGGGGTTTCAATTAATTTCCTAGCAAAAAATACAGATTTTTTTTCATGTGAACAAAAAGTGTCAGAAAAGGCTTGGTCTTCAGGTGGTTAGAAGAGTGAATGATGTGTGGCATAAACCTCTAATGCTGGGCATAGAATGCCCCCACCCCCCAAAACAACCCTTTTTTGGAAAGTAGACACCCCAAACTATTTGCTGAGAGGCATGTTGAATCAATAGAGGAATTTATGTTTTTACCACAAGTTTTTGGAAAATGACAAATTTTTTTTTTTTTTTACACAAAATTGTCACTTAAATGATTTATTGCTCACACATACCATGGGTATATGTGGAATTACTCCCCAAAATACATTCTGCTACTTCTCCCAAGTATGGGGGTACCACATGTGAGAGACGTTTTGGCAGTCTAGCCAAGTACAGGACCCCAAAATCCAATAAGCTCCTTCAGGCTTTTAAAGGGCTTTATTTCCTCATTACACTTCCTGACTACCTATCACAGTTTCGGAGGCCCTGAAATGCCAGGATAGCACCATCCCCCCCCAAATGAACCCTTTTTGGAAAGTAGACATCACAAGGAATTTGATAAGAAGCACGGTGAGTATTTTGCAGATCTCGTTTGTTGCCACAAGTTTTTGGAAAATGAAGAAAAAAAACAAAAACATATTTTTTCTATTATTTTATATTTCAAAACCTTGTGAGAAAAAATGAGATCTGCAAAATACTCACCATGCCTCTTTTTAAATTTCTTGGGGTGTCTATTTTCCAAAAAGGGGTCATTTGGGGGGCTTTGGTGCTATCCTGGCATGTCAGGGCCTTCAAAACTGTCATAGGTAGTGAGGAAGTGAAATGGGGACGTTACGCACCTTCAGGCTTTCAAAGTGGTCATTGGATTTCAGGCTCCTGTATGTGGCTAGGCTCCCAAAAAGTCTCACACATGTGGTATACCCATACTTGGTAGAAGTAGCGGAATGTATTTTAGGGTGTAATTCCACATATGCCCATGGCTTTTATGAGAAATAAATAATTTAAATGGCAAATTTGTGTAAAAAAAAAAAGAAAAAAGTTTTTGTCATTTTCCAGAAACTTGTAGAAAAAAATAAATCTTCCATGGACTCAAAATGCCTCTCAGCAGATAGCTTAAAGTGTCTACTTTCTGAAAAGGGGTAATTTGGGGGTGTTTGTACTTTCCTGGTATTTTAGCACCTCAGGAAATGTGATACGCAGTCAGAAAGTAAAAGCTGTGTAAATTCCATTATCTATACCATAGTTTGTAGATGCTATAACTATCACACAAAGCAATCAATATACACTTATTGGGATTTTTATTACCAAAAACATGGAGCAGAATACATTTTAGCCTAAATTTATAACTAACTTTGAGTTTACTATATATTTTTTATAGCTGAAAGTAAAAAATATAGGTTTTCTTCAAAATGTTTGGTCTTTTTTTGTTTATAGCATGAAAAATAAAAAGCGCACAGGTGATCAAATACCACCAAAAGAAAGCTCTATTTGTGTGAAAAAAAGGACGTAAATTTCATTTGGGTACAGCATTGCATGACCGCGCAATTATCAGTTGAATTAGTGCAGCGCCGAGTAGCAAAAAGAGGCCTGGTCATTAAGGGGAGTAAATCCTCTAGAGGGCAGATGGTTAAAAAACTTCCAAGTGTTTGTGAAATCTCCCACCACAAAATGTACTCAGCTAATGAAAGGTGATGACTCCATTTTATTCTTCTCCTGCTATCAATGGCCAACCCGTTCCCACACTTCATCCATGTCTTCGGTGACCTCTGATCTCCTTATGAACTGTTTCTTCCATGATGAAGATCAGCCATGGAGTATATCTGAGGTGTATATCAGGGTGTGCTTCTTCCCCACATGAAGCTGGGATGTCCAGCAACATTCAACTAGAAGACATTTCCCACACTCAAGGCACTAATACACCTCCAAGGTTGTGTGGGACCCCTGATGTACAGGAAGACAGGACTTCAGTGAGGAACATTTCCCCCACTCAGGAAAGGAAAGTGACTTCTTCCTGTGTGAGATCTCTGATGTTTGTATAGATGGGGCTTCTGTGAAAAACATTTCCCGCACTCAGGACAGGAATACGGCTTCTCCCCTGTGTGAGATCTCTGATGTATGGAAAGATTGGACTTCACTGAAAAACATTTCCCGCACTCAAGACAGGAATATGGCTTTTCCCCCGTGTGGGACCTTTGATGTGTAACAAGATCTGATTTATATGAAAAACATCTCCTGCACTCCGGACAGGAATAAGGCTTCTCCCCTGTGTGCAATCTCTGATGGCTATAAAGATTGGACTTCATGGAAAAACATCTCCCACACTCAGGACAGAAATACGGCTTTTCCCCTGTGTGAGATCTCTGATGTGTGTAAAGATGGGACTTCTGTGAAAAACATTTCCCGCACTCTGGACAGGAATATGGTTTTTCCCCCGTGTGAGATCTTTTATGCACTTTAAGATGGGATTTAAAATGGAAACCCTTCCCACACTCAGGACAGGAGAACCTCTTCTCTGTTGGCAAGCCGTCTGAGGTTCCTCAGGATACGAGGAATCCGAATAGTCCATCTACACTGGTTGGTGCCAGGATGGACATTGGAGGGAGCTGGGTTTTCTCCTGGACTATACTGTGTGATGTCCTCATCTTCTACTTTCCAGTCTGGAGACAAAGTGAGACAATCCTCGGAGGTTTTCCTCATCTCCCGGCCATGGACTAAAATACAAAGACAAAGAGGATTACTAGACAGGAGCTGATTGGTTCCCCAAACCAGGACTCCGCCCACATCAAGCAGCTTGGTCTCTGAGGAGCTTACAATTCCACCCTCAAGGGAACTAGGAAATGGCTCCTCTGATCTCCTACCAGGTCATTTCTTTATTCATGGACCTCAGTCAGAGAGTGAAGAAACAATGGAAACTGATACATAAATTATGTGTCTGCAGCACAGAGAAGGAAGATATCCGAGAGAAATCCAGGAATACAGGACGGGGACACACAGCTCAGGAAAGTGACCAGGGTATTATAGGCTGATATCACCCAGTCCCCGCCCTACTCTGGACCAATCAGTGAGCAGTATGGGTGGAGGAATGGATTTAGTGTTCAGGACCCACCTGTGCTGATCTCTGTAGGAGTGTCCTCCTCTATAAATGTCCCCATTATTCCATCCTCCTCCATAGACTGCTGATCATCCCTCACATACGCCTCTTCTTCTGCTTTAACCTCAACTTTTATATCTATCAGATCTTCACCCTAAACCAAAAAATTATGAAAAAGATCATCTGTAAAAAAAATAATTTCATGATATCCCACACTGTAAACAAAATCTACACATTGTCTCCAGGAGTCCATGTTCTAGATGCTCCAACCTACCAACCTTATAAAAGAGAGAGATAGTGTGGTCTTCCTGTGTGGAATCCCGGGAATACAGAGGATGGGGACATCTCTCTGGTGGGTTCCCATGACTGGATCCATCTGTAGGAAACACACACACTGACTGAATCCATTGTTTCTATGTGTTTATCAGATGATGGGGGATCTAGGTGGATCCTCCGTACTGCTCTCTCCTTTACAATAAAGTCTCCTCTTACCCGGTGATGTGAGGGGCGGCTGATTGTCCATCATGACGTCCTTGTAGAGATCCTTGTGTCCTTCTAAATACTCCCACTCCTCCATGGAGAAATAGACAGTGACACCCTGACACCTTATAGGAACCTGACACACACAATGATACAGTCACCATCCAGACACATCCCTTGTCTGTTACTGGAGAATGTCCCAGAATTCCCAGCACCGCTCACCTCTCCTGTCAGCAGCTCCATCATCTTCTTGGTGACTTCTAGAATCTTCTGCATGTTGTGTCTCTCAGGGTTTAGGGAGTCACATGGAGGCACTGTGATGGTCATATGATCACCTGACTTCAGAAGAGGAAATCTCTGTATTGCGGAACCAATAGGAATATCATGTTAGACTCCCAGAATCCCCCTCACCTCTCCGGTCAGGTCTGTGTTTTATTAATAGAGATAAGAGTGATGTCATGTGACCTCCCAGAATCCTCCTCACCTCTCCCGTCAGGTCTGTGTTTTATTAATAGAGATGAGAGTGATGTCATGTGACTTCCCCAGAATCCTCCTCACCTCTCCGGTCAGGTCTGTGTTTTATTAATAGAGATAAGAGTGATGTCATGTGACCTCCCAGAATCCTCCTCACCTCTCCGGTCAGCAGGTAGATGATCTCCAGGGTGAGGTTTAGTATCTTCTCAGTCATGTGACTCCGGTCCTCCTCCATCCTCATTGGTGCCATCATGTGATCTATACAGGTCTCCTTGTAGAGGATAACTTTGGGAAATGAAAGTAAGAATGATTTGGATGGTATTGGTCACACAATAATAGGATGTGGATGTGAGGGGGGAATAGGAGGGTTGCTGTATTTTTTTGCAGTTGTATTTATATTGAATTTCACAAGAAAAGAGTTATATCCAATATGGTTCACAGAACAATAATGGGAAATAAAGAATGGTTTGAATTAAGTAAGCAACACAAACAGCTTGAAGAGGTTTCATAAGTTCTGTGGATTCCAAAAGTCAAAAGATGTACAACATGCTTGGACAACATATGAAGTAAGCTGGAATATGTCCTGAGCTACCCTCAAGGTCCTGGATAGAACATGAGCAACATCACAATTATACAAGTATAGAAGGACTGGTAAAAGGTAATAAGCATGTTTATCTTGAACACACCAGATTTGACTGAGGCTGAGCTTTACTGGGGGGATAGATCAAAGCAGTTACATAGGTAGTGGCTTAGAAGAGATGGAGAGCATATTCTGACTGTTTCCAGAATCCCATACTGTCTTGGAAATTCGCTTTTAACAAATTTCTCCTTACCGTGAGTACTCGCAGTTGGATGCGCAGCAATCCCTCATAAAGCTGTACGAATCTCGCTTACCGCGACTTCAGCTAAACTCCACGATTCCTGCGCCTCCAACTGGTTTAGCTATCTCGAGATTTGTGGGGAAAATGGAGCTCCAGTTACCTAGGAATGATCACATGACACTCAGGTTGCTGTTGGAATTCACATAGAGAGTGTCTGTATTCTCAGGGGGGTCTTGTTTTATTACCAGTACACACATGCCCCCCCCCACGCAAGGGGGGGGGGGTCAGGTCAATCCCCTCCCACAGAACAATGCAATGGGGGAGTGTCTATACACAGAATGTACATCCTGATTGGAGCATAGCCTTTCCTTTTATCTATACTGGAAACCAGTTCTCCCCTCCCCCTTTCCCATGGTGAGCTCTCTGTGGAGAGCAGGCTTCCCATCCTGAGCTTTGAGTAAGGGGGGTGGACTCCGCTGAGCTCTGACTCCTAGTAGTATGTACATTCCCTGTACAAGCATCCCCTAGATTAAACAGTGTCAGTCTGTATCTGAATGGGCTCCAATACTGATCTTTGATTAAAACACTCCATCTGAGATACAGTTCAGGGGGGTAATGGCTTGTAAGATACACATGAGCCTACACACGGAGTTCGCACTGCTTGGCGCCTGGCGGTACGAAGTCCATGTGGGGGACTATGCTGCTGATACTGGATACAGGCCCGCGGCCTACCGCCGGCGGCATTCGCATCGACATGCTGTGGTGGCATACACGCCGGTCTATAAGCATAGATCTGCCATCTCATCCATTGCCTGAGCTGAGTACTGTGGAATACATACATTGTAAGCCTTCAGAGCTTTAATTAAGCCACACGAGAGACATATGAATAACACTGAATATATGACACATTTAAAGTTCAACCTGTAAATACAAAATTTCCATGACAATACTTTGCGGAATAGATCCAATTTGTCAGGTTAGGTTGCGCTGAGATGCTCCATGCCTTGAACCATAGTTATAGTATGTATGAGTTGGCAATGGAATGAGGGAGTGGAAAGCTAGCACCTAGAGATGGGGACTCTTTCAGCTGCTTTTAAGATAAGAAATGCCTAATAAAGGAATCCCAGAAGATAGTGGATGGGGTTGTCAGGCAAGGAGGTGTCAATGACCTTTTCAAGCATAGAGATAACATAAAGCCAGAAATGAGGCTGAAGGTTAAGACATGTCCATAGAAGTGAAATAAAGAGGGCACTTAGTCTCGGCCACACTCTAGAAGGAGTCAGGTAAAGTAGGACACTGTTAGTGGTGGGAGCATCTCAGGTGTCTTGTACCAGTAGTTTGTATGCGTTCTCCCTATAAACCATGCATCATGGAAGATTTAGTAGCCGAACCAAGATATCAGGGATAGGGCGTTGGAGAGTTTGGGCTCACTTTTATATAAGTGAAGATTTTCAGTAAATGGGAGTGTTTCCTGCACTTGTTTGTAGATGGAGGATATGAGTTTGTAGTTGGTGCGGGCCTTGATTCATATGCGTTCAAATTTGGTTGGGCCCCTGCTAAAGCGAATGATGGAGGGAGGGTGAAGAAAAAAAATGCTCACACTGAAGATAATGAGTAAAAGAGGTTATTGGGAATATGGAGCTTAGTGTGGAATTCCCCAAAGGGTCTGAGTTGTGTTTGTAACCGGATTTACAAAATGACGCAACTGAAATCGATTTGCTTTGGTCCAAGGCATCATTCTTCCATGGACAGTGAGTGTGGGATTGAAGGACTATACTCAGGGTTAATCAGGGGAGAACACGGTGAAGAAAGAGAATATTGTGTGCAGCATTTTTTCCATATGGATAATAATAAACTGCACATAGGGGAGGATTGTTTCAGTGGAGCTGACACGGTGGATTTTGGGTGGAGCGGACATGGTGGATTTTGGGTGGAGCGGACATGGTGGATTTTGGGTGTAGCCTGACACGGTGGATTTTGGGTGTCCCGGACACGGTGGGTTCGAATAACCATATTAAAGAGCATGGGGTAGATAAGCCCCAACATTCTATTTTTCACCAATCAACTGGGTAGAATGGGCAGACCAGGATGATAAATCCTGGAGGTGGGGGCTTGCAGAATTATTTGAACAGGTCAGTGCACTCCCAGACTACCCTGAGATCTCAGCAAAAGCAAAGTTCTCCATGCCATGAAAGTACATTGTGGTGTCATATAAAGGGACAAAGGCTCTTTGAAGTGCTTTCAGATGAAAGAGAAGGACCTGGACTGGGAGGAGTGTCAAACAAGTACAACAGTTGGGGGATACAGCCAGGAAATATTATGAGTCCCATTGTTTCAAGGACAAATGTATATCTGGAAATAAAGAGGGACAAATGGGAGCCCCGTATTAGATGCTTGTACAAATTTTTTGGACTAAATCCCCCCATGGCAACACATTGAGCCTGGACTGTCTAGTGTTTGTTACATCTTGGAGGTCCTGGGACCCTCTTGTCTATCGGATCAGAAATCCCCTTTTCTCTGTTGGGTTTGTTTGGTCTCTGAACTGGTTTTGATGAGTATTAGATCTGCAGACAAGGAATGATAAATATGATCCTTCCTATGACACGTTTGCTCTGAGGCGGTGCTGTGAGGTCAATGTAGGGTCAT